GTTAAAAATTAAAAATATTCGTTACAGTTAATAAATAACTATCAGTGAGATAAGGTGTTATTGCATAGATATAATATAAAAGCGATTATTTTCATAATTTTACATTTTTTATATTTTAAAAATGATATGAAGTCTTTTGGACACTAAGGTTAGTAACTTGATCACATGCGAAGCAATCTCAACCTGTCTAACAAAAATTACTTTTCATATATTAATAGTAGATTAGTATTACATAGTAGTCTTTGACTATCTTTTCTTTCCAGAAAGGTCAATGACTACTTTTGATCAACTGTTGCTTCTTTTTATTATACAAAGGTGGAATAAAAATTGGAAAATCCAAAATAGGAGGTTACCAATCTGCAGAAAACATAATTTATGTGGTTTTGAGGGTGCTGAGTTTAAAGATTCGGTTTGATTTTTGCGAAATTCGATTCGTTCTGAAATAACAGTTCGATATTAGGCTCTGAACGAAACAGTTTCTTAGAGGTAACTTTTGTAGTTATATAAATCAAGTACTATAATATAATATAATAAATGAGTTAGAAGTACGAAAGAATCTAACAGTCTTAATGTTTGTTGAAATTTTTTGCTCAAGCAATGCAGGGCTCGACTGCTAGTAATTTATATTTATAAATTACAGCTATTGTTTTACATTATTAATACTGAAATAATTATTTTTTATCAACTTTTATATTTTAATTCATTAAAACATATCAGACGATTGTGAAAAACAGTTCTTAGTTGAAGTATTATTTGATGAACATAAAATTTTAATCGCTTTCTATTAAAACAAACTAAATTAATAAATCAAATTTTCTACGCGTTTAAAAATTCAATGTGTAAATTAATATTATCACAGATTATCTGATATATTGTTCTATTATTAGATAAATAATTTTTTAGTAAGCGACCATAGATGTTATAAGCTGTAATATAAAATTTTATTATCTGCATTCTGTAAGCTATATATAATTGTATTACTACATTTCAAACCAAATACAAATTGAACAATTGTAAACATTTTAATTACTGAAGATATCTTAAGTTATTTTACATTTAATAGGTAAATATTGATTTTTCTTAAATACGAAAAAAGTAACATTTCTAAAAGAGTTTAATACAACAATTTTTATTGTCTGAAATAGAAGATAATACGAAACACAGCGATTTTTAAAATATTTTAAAAATATTATAAGTATGTAATTTATACAATTCTAGTTAATACTTAATGCAGATAACAAACTAATATAGAATTTACAAAATATTTCCCTGAAATTATCCGAGAACAGCGGCCAATCTCTTGTAAGCATTCCATGCAAGATCGGCTAGAAACCTTTTACTTTATGAAATAACAAAAAAAATTCAATGCCAAATAGGCTGATAATTACATAATAATTAAATATGAACAACGAGCATTTATTTATTGTTACATCGTCACAATGCCATGCTGCAATTTCTCATTGTGATTTCAATTATTTAATTTAAATTATATGCTCTCTATTTAAAATTACTAGGGTGTTGCCCCTGTACACAATACTTTTCTTCCTAGCAATAGAGTAGTGCCTTTCAACTATCTCACTGCTTTCAGGAGAATATATTCAATTTATATAACGTGACTTTCCTTGAAGATCTGAAATTTTTATATAATTATTTAGACGCTGTGGCCGTAAAAATGAACACACTTTCTTTTAATCGTCATATACTTATTTTCTTTTTCCAGATTAACAAAGGACAGACACCAGACAGAGAACAGCAAGAATCTATAAGTTTACAGTTTTTGAAATTGCAGCCCATTGAAGAAAGATGTATTACTGTTTACTACATATTATATACTTTATTAAAATTATGAATAGTTTATACATTGTATTTTACAAAAATAGATAGTATATTTAAATATTGATGTAATATATTTTTTAAATTCGTATTATATTTTATAAGTAAATATTAATTTGTTTGTATAAGAGAAAAGTAGCATTTTTCTAACAATTTAATATAATATTATTTAACATATTTATTAATAGTTTATAAATACAAAATTTAATAGTTTAGTTGACTTCAAACGTTTTGGTCAAGTTAAAATTTTTTTAAATCCACTCCAAAATTTTGCAGATAACATATTTTAATGTAAATAAAATTTATAAAATACTTTTAGGCTATTTTAAATTTATTAATTCGAAACAAATGTAATTTGCATAACAATGATAATTATTGTTAATTAGTCTACAATAATAAATATAAAATTTATGCATATTATTAATATAAATTTTTCATCATATTTATTTATGTAAACATATTATATTGATAGTTAAATTGAATATTTAAAAGCTATACAAAATATCGTAATAAACTTGAATTTCTTAATTCATTGTGCAAAATACATTTATATAATACACACTATACGATAAAAATTATTTGAGTTTTTTGAGTATCATTCGTTCATTCGTATTTACAGAATACTTTCATCCAGTGTAATTAAATGAAACTACAAAAAATATAAAAATTTATTTAGTGTGTGCTAAAAGTATAAGTAAATTCATTGGTGACATATTTTGCAAATTTTAAATTTAATAAAACATTTTACAATCCATATTGCTAAATACTTTTGCGAATATTATTTGAAATGTTAAGCAGATTAATGCAAATAAATATCCAACACCCATAAATAACAATGGACTTTTAATATCTTCGATTGATAAAGGTTGGAATTGCGATTGCGATGATGACAGTAACGATTCCCTAGGTCTTAAACGTAATAATTTTTCCATAATTCCAGCTTCGAACAAGTGAATTGCTGTATTAAAAATTTACTGTTTTTAAATTAAGCAAAATATAAATTATATTACTAATATAAATAAATATAGAAATTTGTCTTACGTGTTGTGTATATCCTTCTTAAATAAAAAATTTTTTCTAATTGGGATAGCAACCATCACAGTACGAAAATAGTCTTTTGAAATGACATATTTATGCATATCTTTTTTACTGACTAAGTAATCAATTACGAATGTAGGTGTCAGGTACGCAAATCGTCCTTTATTTAATTTCACAATTGCTTTTTCCATATTCATTAAATTGTTATTTTCCAGGATATTTTGTCTTAAAGTTCCGATAATTTCAGACTTCGACATCTAGAAGTAATAATAACTTCAGCATATGCAAAGCCATTTAAACCCTTAACCTGTGAGGTGAAAAAAGTTATGCAACTTTTTTCACCTCACAGGTAGGGTCACTCTGACTCCAGAACTTTTGTTACAATTTAGAAAAGAAAAATAAAGTAAAATATAATTATAAAATACTTTTTATGCTTTATTTAACACTCTAGAAACATAAAGTAAAATTTTTAAAAATATATTAGGATTTTTAATTTTTTTTTTACTTTAAAATACTAATAACACTTCAAAAAGTAAAATACTTAATTATATATACTTCTAACTACTGAAGGCACCGTGTATGGCCTGTATTTCAATACTTTTGGGAACTGAACATTACTTGTAAGAAAATAAAAGTAAAAACAATTTATTTCGTGCTGTATCCTTTTATCTGCAATGGCCTGAAAACGGTGAAATCGAAGAAACTTAGCTGGTCCCGTTATTTCTGGAAAATGCGTAATTACATTGTTTTTTCAAGTTCTAATAGCTCTAGAAAATAGATTTTTCGACCACTTAAAATTATTTTTGCCATAAAAATATTGTTCCGTATTTTGTGGTTTAATGTTCACGGTGTTTCAAATCTTGATGCGGATTCATGGGCACAAATGAAATCTTTAGAATTATCATCATCATCTTTACCATTGAACATGCTTTTTTATCATACAAGATAGATGTGGCTCAGTCTGAAAAACTAGGGTGATATCCTGCTGTTTTCATGCCATATATGCCACCTTCACAAAACTATTAGATTAAAGAAAATAGTTACATAACACGTGAGGTAGAATCGAGGTGACCCCGAAGAAAAAGGTTAAAGTTCGTGTAAAAAATATGACACAACAGAGTCATATTTTTTACATATATTATCAATAATGTTTTCACTATCTATAATAATTAAATTGTTATTATTTAGATTGCTGTTCTTTAAATTTTTCTAAAATATACATCGTTTCTCTAAATAAGATTTTAATGTTTTTATTAATTGCCTTTTAACGGTTCAATAACAACTAACGTAAACATACTTTGAGTCTTCACAACTGGCACTAGATAACAGACTAGTAAAAGCCAGTCAAAGTTTAATTAAGGACACAGTGACCCCATTTCCACGATTAAGAGTAAAGTGTGAATCTTGAAATTGAAAACACTTACCAAGATCTCTTTCCAAATAGTAAGACCTCCTTGTGTTCCACATGAGTACTTGCCATTACGGACAAAGACTGCAAGTTCCTGAAAATTTCTTGGATAGGATTCAGTTATAGGACAAGTCATAAATGACATTAATGCTCCGCTGTAACCACATACCAAAACAACAATCGATAACCACCAAATTCCTATCATAAATCTGGATGCAAACCTTTTCACCTTGTCTACATTTAATCCTAAATAACATCAAATATATATTTAATTGTTGAACTTTACATCTCACTGTAATTAGTATATTTTACCTTGCCCGAAAAATGTGCAAAATATATTCCAAAAAGTTCGATAACGTGTCCAACGTTGTCGAGTTTGTGCTTCAACCAACTCCTTCTGAAGAACTGCATGTAGGACCAAACCGAAAACTAATACAGTCAGAAATATAGCGATCCATATCTATTTCATCAAAAATATAGTTATATTTTTAGTTGATTAGGGTTTAAAATACATTATAGTTACTTACTTCTAAAGAAAATGGCTTAGATAGAGAATTCCAATCAGAAATCTTATCAGGAGCTTTAATAATAAAGACATCTGCAACGGATGCATAGACAGATGAAAAATCCATCACACAGAAGCGTTCATAGTTAACTTCCATTACAGACAAAAACACATCAGCTTTCTATAATTATAAACTCGATTAATAAAAAAAATATCTTAATTAAATTTCTTATGACTGCTGTTATATATATATCGTAAAGTCTTTGCAAATCCGCACTTAAAATGTAAATTTTAATATTGGCGGTAGACTATCACACAGCTTTAGCCAATGATTTCACTTTATTCTATTACTATAGATGCATTTCGGTCCTTTTCTAAAAAAGGTCCCTCTTCAGTACTATAAAATACAAAAGTTTACATAAACTTTTTCTGCAAGTAAATATTTAACATAACAATAAATATTTTAGTATTACAATACCATTTGAGTACACAGTTTTATTTATACATCCCTTCAGCACTTTCATCCTGAG